ACACACACACACACACACACACACACACACACACACACACACACACACACACAAATGGAAGGCTAATCTGTGTTTTCCATTGCTATAACAAATCACCTCCCCATAAATTCTTGGCTATGTTAGCCACAATGACTTTAATTTTTCTATCGGTCCTTCTGGCCCTATACACTCAACCCATCTTGTACTTTGTTTTACCTGAGATAAAGTTCCAATTACAAAAACCTGAATATTTACTTCGTGAAGAAGCCAATCTGGATGCCAAGATTTTGGTGATATTATTGTCACATCTGCCCCTGCATCTACTAATCCCTTGATTTCAATTCCATTTATTTGCATTTTTAGCATTGGTCTCTGGCCATTTATAACAGGTTGCCAAAATACTTGTTTCTAGTTTCTCATGCATTTTTTTGTTTTATCTACTGAAGCTATTTTGTCCTTGAGTATATCCAGAGCAGTATTGTTTCTAACAACAGTCATTTTATCTTTTAATTGCTCTGTGGATGAGTTTCTCTGATTCTGACAGGGAATAGTTGAATTTAATTTCATATAGGGGCCTGTGGGAGGCCCCCGAAGTGCTTCTCAATAGCAAAGGGTTACCTTGCCTTTCCCTTGTGGATCTGCATTAATTAATCCAATGCTGGCCTTTGCAGCAACCTCTGCATACTCCAGAAGGCTGGAAACTTCTGTTCAGATTTTCTCTAGAAAAAAAACAACATTGTTCTTAGGAACATATTGCCTATAATTCCTTTTCAAATGACCTTGATTACTACAATTAAAACATTAGACATTTTGGGTTCTCTTCTAGTATTCTCTGTAGGGCTGAATTTCTAGATAGATACTGCTTAAATTTCATTTCATAATGGAATGTTATTCTTTATCTACTGTGGTTGAAGGTTTTACTGGGTATAGTAGTATGAGCTGGAATCTACATTCTCCTACAGCTTGTAGAAGATTCATGTAAGCCCTTCTGGCTTTTAGATTCTCCATTGAACATTTAGGTATTGTTCTAATAGGTCTGCCTTTATACATTATTTGGTCTTCTCCTCTTGCAGCTTTTAATATTCTTTCTTTGTTCTTTACATGTCATTATTATATGCCATGGGGAATCACTTTTCTGCTTGCCATGGGGAATCACTTTTCTGCTCCAATCGATTTGTTGTTCTGTATTCTTCTTGTACTTTGATACATGCCACCTCTTTGGGTTTGGGAAATTTTCTTCTACAATTTTGTTGAAAATATTTTATGTGCCTTTGACCTGTGTTTCTTCTCCTTTCTCTATTCATATTATTAGTAGATTTGATCTTTTCATAGTGTCCTAATTAGGGTTATTATTACTATGATGAAACAAGATTACCAAAGCAACTTGGGTAGGAAAGGGTTTATTCAGATTAGACTTACTGGCTTGCTTCTCCTGACTTTCTCATCTTGCTTTCTTATATAACCAGGATCACCAGCCCAGGAGTGGCACTACTAAAATGAGCTAGGCCCTCCTCCATCAATCATTAATTAAGGAAATACCTTTACAGGCTTGCCTACAGCTTAATCTTATGGAAGCATTTTCTTAATTGAGGCTCCCTCCTCTGTAATGACTCCAGCTTTTGTCAAGTTGCATAGAAGTAGCCAGTACACATAGTGTTCCAGATTTCCTGTATATTTTGTGCCTGAATTTTTTTTAGGAGTTAACATTATCCCTTACCAAAATATCATTTCTTCTATCTTGTCTTCAATGCCTGAAATTCTCTCTTCCATCTCTTGTATTCTAGTGGTGTACGGGCTGGTTGTGTGTCAGCTTGACACAGGCTAGAGTTATCAGAGAGGAAGGAGTCTCAGCTGAGAAAATTCCTCCTTGAGATCCAGCTCTAAGGCATTTGCTCATTTAGGGATCAATGGGGGAGGACCTGGCACAAGGTGGGTTGTGCCATCTCTGGACTGCTGTTCTTGGGTGCTATAAGAAGGAATTGGAGAGCAGGCCAGTACGCAGTTCCCCTACATGGCCTCTGCATCAGCTCCTGACACCAGGATCCTGCCTGTGAGTTCCTATCCTGACTTCCTTCAGTGATGAACAGCAATGCTGAAGTACAAGCCAAATAAGCCCTTTCTTCCTTAACTTGCTCTTTGGTCATGGTGTTTTGTTTTAGTAATAGAAACCCTAACTAAGACAGTTGGGGAGGCTTGCCTCTGAGGTTCCTGTTAAAGTTCCTAAATTTTTTATTTCCAGATTTCCCTCAGTTTGTGTTTTCTCATTGGTTCTATTTCCACTACAGTGTTTTGAATTGTTTCCTTTGTTTCATGCCAATGCTGTGTGTGTGTGTGTGTGTGTGTGTGTGTGTATTTATTCATATCCTCTTTAAGAACCTCTAACATATTCATAAAGGCTATTTTGAAGTCCTTTTCTTGTGCATCAACTATATTGCATACTTTAGTAGAATTTCTGGTCTCTAGTGGAGACATATTGCCTTGGCTGTTACTGGTTGTCTTTTTATGCCGGTATCTAGGCATCTGGGTTTGAGAAGATTGTAAATCTTGATGTGAATATCTGTTGTTGTCTCTGGTGAGTGTTTTGTCTCTTCGTTTCTGTGCTCTCTCTGGTTCTTGGGGGAGTGTGGTGGCTGTGGGTTGCCTAGTAAAGAGTGCTTCTGAGAGCCTGCCAGGTGTGGACACTGGGGTCCTGGTTAGAATGTTTTTCTAGGTTTTGGGAGATGAGAGGATGGTAATGAGGTAGAAGGGAAGGCAAAGAAGATCCACAGGTGGGAAAAAGCAGCATGTGCCACCAGGATCTTTGTAGTCCCCTGAGAATGAAGGTAGAGAAGGAGAGGCTAGAACAGTTGGTTTGCTACAGAGGTGGGGATGGGGGAATTAGATTTGGAGCAGAGGAGGGAGAGTGAAAATTGTCTCCCTGATTCACTGGTCTTTGTGACTGGCAGGATTCTAGAGAATGACTCCAGATATTGTGACTGAGACAAAGGGATGGGGTAGTGAGGAAGGCTGCAAGATCCACTAAAGATGGGAGCAGAGAGAAAAGGGAGGCCATGACAGGTGATATGCTACAGAGTTGGGAGTGGGACTAGGGGATTGGATTTGGAGGAGAGGAAGGGGAGTGAAGAGCATCAGCTGCTTCCCTGGCAGTGGGTTTCCATGGAATTCTGGAGAGTGATCAGCTCCTCCCACATGCTTTCAAGTTCTAGCTGGGTCATATCTAAGGGACAGTCCTGCCTGTTGGGTCAGTTCATTGAGATCTATGAAAACGAGACAATGACAATGTCATGGTGGAGGTAAACAGGTACCAAATCTTTGACATAAAATTAAAAAATTGAATCTCTTTTTCCAAGCAAGGGTCTTTTCTCCCACTCATGTCCTTACCTCTTTGTCCAATGGTTACAAAATATGCCTGCTTGAGTTCAGCATACTAAACTCACCTCTGAATATCTCCTCAGATATGGTGGCCTGTGTTGTGCCTTCTGAGTGTGTAAAGCAGTGTGGTGTTGACATTGGTTGCACTAACTATGCCTACCCAACAATGGTGCTGAAACTGATGCCCATGGGTAAGTAAAAGCCTGAACTCACATAGCCTCAGATGCTTGGTCTGTAGATGAGCATAGGATGGATTGTGGTATAATCCTCAGCCATTACTGCTTTGCTTTCATTATTCAGCTCTGTTCATAGACATTTCTTGGGCACCTTTTACATGTTGCCAACCATATGTTGAGCCTAGACATTCCAGAGATGCTCCAGATTTCTTGTTAGGAGAATCTTGACTCTGTAGACTCAAGACTCTTTGAAGAAAAATAAGCATTTTTAACCACAAGCCTCTATTTCCAGAGGAGTCAAGGTTAATTATGGGCCAATGACACTAAGACTTTAGATCTCAATCTATTCAATTTATAATCACTTATTGAATGTATTCTGTCCCAGGCACTAGCTTGGGTGTATAGAAACATTGGTGAAGTTTCAAAAATAAGTTCCCCTACCATTTAAAATCCATATTTCAGTTTCCTGGGATATAAAATAAGCTGTATATAGAAGTAAATAAAATATTAAGATGCTGGAGAGTGACTGTGGTGAATTGAAGCAGAACAAGGTAGAGAACTCGGGTGTGACCAGTTGAAAACTTGGGTTAACACTTCCATGGCCCTTTCTCCATCCTGATACACATGAACATTTTCAGAATGAAGGGAACATAGCCCACAGATCTGACACCACATTCCCAAATCCTCTGTTCTAGAAGATGTGGGGCCAGAGAGAGCAAGAGCATAAGATTCCTATAATGATTCCAAATTCTTGGCTTTTCTTCTCCAAAGACAGCAGAACCATTAACTACATTTTTCCACTAACTCTTTGTGTGGTCAAGAGATCACTGAAAAGAAAGATGGCATCACAGAGCTTATTCTGTTCTAAGAGTAGGTTTCAGTAGATGGTATCTGAGTTTGTATTGGGGACTAAATTCCCATTGTGATATTGAGATCACCAGGAATTATGCATGAAGTGCCACATGCATTTCTATTATATGCATATTTTGATATCTGCTCAAATAGTCAATGTTCCAGACAAATCCATTGTCTTGAAGCAATGCCCTATTCTTAGCCTGGCATTCACAGAAAAGGATATGCAGCCACTAACCAGAGCTTGCACCTTCTCTTGACCCCAGGACTTCGAGGCCTGATGCTGTCAGTCATGGTGGCCTCTCTCATGAGTTCCCTGACCTCCATCTTCAACAGCGCCAGCACCCTCTTCACCATCGACCTCTACACCAAGATTCGGAAGAAGGCATCTGAGAGAGAGCTCCTGATCGCTGGACGGTGAGGAAACCTGGTCTCTGCCTAGAATTTCTCTCAGGAAGGGAAGATGGAGTGATGAATTAAAGTTTGTGTATTCTTAGCTTTAGTGAAAATAGTGATCATTCTATAGTGGAAGAAGAAACAGTAGAAACAATTTAATTCAACTTAAATTTTTACACATACAAAAATTGAGGCCATTTAAATGAAATGTTTGTTCTTCATATTTTAAGTGCTTCAGGTAAGTTTTTTGTTGTTGTTTTAACTTTTCCTCTGACAACCTCCTCCAATCACATCTTCACAAATTATCACCTACTCTTGGTGCTTCATCTTTAGATTCATCCAAGTATATCAAATGCTTGTGATAATGAATTTACTACCACAAATGTGATTATCAACTTCACCTTCATTATGAATTAGATATTAGAAAGGCACAGACTTGGGTAAAGAACTAGTTCAAGAAGTTGCTTAGAGGGTTATGTCAACCAAACAGTCCCTAAGTAATCTGGAAGTCCAGAAGACAAATGGAGTAAAAACAATCAGGGAGCATAGATAAGAAAGACCCAATTTTCCTCTTCATTGCTAACAAGTAGACCCAACACCATCATAGCATTTTGTAAAATGAGTTGAAGATTAAAGTATGACATACATACAGGGGACATGGAGAACATAACTATACATTTCAATGGTATATCTCAAAAGAAGCATACGTGCAGCTACTGTACACATTAGTATTTAATTACTAATGTTAATACACACAGTATAATAACATTCAATAATAATTGTGATAATCCATGTTTCCATATACAATTTGTTTCAGTTCCTTGCTGTATAGTACTCCATTATCTTAATGCCTCAGCATTATCTGCTCTATTGTGCATGGCCATGTTGATTTGGTTTAACTCTCTTACTGATTATGACTTATTATGGCTTAGAAAAAAGATTGGTAAAATAAGTGTCAAGAATAGAGATCATTTACCTTTTATACTTACTAATATTGAATAATATACTTAATTCTTTGCTTTTGGCAGTAATAATAGCTTTACTAGGTTAAACACTTGGAGATGGAAACCTGGAGGAGCTCACTTGGCCCAGATCTTGACTGGATAAAGGCTGTAAGAGAAGAGAATGGAGTGGCATAATTTTGCTTCTTTGTTTGCTTTTCTGGACTGATATTCAAGATACAGTGATTGCACTAGCCAATACATCTTCTTGGACATAAATCCTTTTTAAGTCTCAATGACAAAGTAATATTTGTTTCATCTTTCTTACCAAATATCAATCTCCCAAAATACAAATATGGAAAAAACACACATTACAAAAATTCTTGCTCTGTGTAAGCGAGCTATGCCAGATCATGCTGGCCCACTTGAGTGTGTGAGGAAGCAATCAAAGTGGACTGGGAAGCATCTGGTTTTCTTTCCAAGGGAACAATGACAATAGTAATGGTGTAATTTATTGAATCTTTACTGTCTTCTGGGGTTCATGATTGTCACATTAAAGTTTTGTTTCAAGGTAGCAGAGACTTCATAAAGTTTAAGTGGACATTGGTATCTCAGTCTTCTGCCCAAGGATTTGTTCATCCATTTACCCACCATGTCCATATTTCAGATGAATATGAAGATAATGAGCTTTCATGCAGAATCTTGTTAATTATATTTGCTCATTTACTCATATACAAAGCATAGAAGTCCCTAGGTTTAGAAAATACATAACAGGAAAATGCATGAACTAGTATTTCTTGTCAATTAATCTAGCTTTCTGGGAAAGATAGAGGCTGTTTTAATCCTTACTTATAAAAACTCATTTACTTTTCTCTAGCTAAGAAAAACATAAAAATTGGATTCTACTTTATTACAAAAATAACTACCAATTAACAATACTAACACGTTATTAATTTCTGAGATATATACATTGAATTAAAGAATGATTAAACAACATCTGACATTTGACTTATTAGGAAGCATTAATCTTAGAAGAAGCCTTTATGACAGGTATAGATAAATATTGTTGACATTGAATTAACAGATAATTAGCACAGCATGAGTTCATATCAGGTCAAGAAACTTAGTTGTGTTTTGAAAATGAATGAATGAATGGTACATTTTTAAAAATTAACAAATACGGTGCTCTTGTTTAATGTCTGGATTATTTTTTATAGGCTGTTTGTCACTGTATTAATTGTCACCAGCATCTTGTGGGTCCCAATAGTAGAAGTATCTCAAGGTGGACAACTGATCCACTATACAGAATCAATTTCTAGCTACCTTGGGCCTCCTATTGCAGCTGTCTTCCTGCTTGGCATCTTCTGTAAAAGGGTCAATGAACAAGTAAGTGAA